GTTTGTCAAACAGAAACGTAGCTGAATTGGTTTCGAACGGTCCGGATTCAGTATCTTCGGGACGAATGATGATCTGTTTGCCAATATCAAATGCAACAGCGACAAATCCAACAGGTACCTGAATAAATAGCATTCTGATGAAAACACCCATCTAGACATTGTCTAGACTGCGCAGTTTTACTAGGCTGAGAAAGAATAACTATTTCTCCTACTAGAATGTTTATAACTTGATCTATATTAAATGTTAATTAAGTTTTCGTGTTTGATCGCCGGAAAAGAACGACTGTCGCAATAATTTGATAACATTTTTACTCTAATATAAAATGTTTGAATGATCTAAATTTTCAACTTACACTCCTCTCAAGTATTCCCGCTAAATTCCGAAACTTCCTTATGTTGAATAAAGCCGAAAGTCATATGAATAGCACAATTTGATATTCTGATCATCTGGGTTCGTCTACCTCAAACATTTTCGAACAAACTATTTTAGCAATATTCCACGAGGGGTAATGATGGCAGATACAGTTTGGCTATCATTTGGAGGATTTTCTGTGTTACGGTCTGAATAAAAAGTGCTCCTTTTAAACTGGTTTCAGTACTTTTTCGCATCTTTCTGCTTTTGTTTTATGTCTGTATCTGCTCCATCAGTTGAGAATTCTAGAAAACTCAGCTCTTCAGCTGGTGCCATTATAATCCCTGTTATGGCGTGAGATGTCCTAATAATACGGCGGCTTGGTCAGCTAATTCTGCTACCGGACTGAAATTAGGCAGGCATTTTTTGGATTTTGTTTCTCTTTTAATTTTTAATTAATACAACGCTCAGCAGCTGGGACATCTCAGATTAAAGAGAAAAGTATGCTAAAGATTTTGAGATGTTTCTGCAGTCTACACGTTCTTTCAGTCAAAACTATGATGAAAATACGAACACCTATGTTTCAAAACTTATCCGAAAAAGTAGAGATTTGTATTTTCATCATAGTTTTGACTGATAGAACGTGTAGAAAGCAGAAACATCTCAAAATCTTTAGCACACTTTTCTCTTTAATCTGAGATGTTCCAGCTGACTGGGCGTCGCGTCAGTCAAAAATTATAAGAGAGACAAAATGCAAAAATATCGTTATGGAACTTCACTCCGGTACTAGAGTTCGCTGGTTAGTTAAAAGTAGGATTCTTATAGACCGAAAAGCAAAGAGAAAAATGAGGAGGAAGAACACGAAAACAACGAGACAGAAAAATGGCAAAGTTTCAGCGATCTACACCATTTATTTCAAGAGTTGTTAAATTTTTGACATCTTCGCGTGGACATTTTAGTTTATATTGCCCTGAATAATGTCAATGGAAATAATTTTGTTCAGATTCTAAATAAAGTAATCGGTAAGATCCTGTATTCTTTCTACCATATACTAGCATGATCTCCTACATCTCGGTGAAATCCTCTAAAACCGACAGGAACTGGGAAGGTTTTCCCAGCAGCTTTCATTTTTTCAGTAACCCGACCATACTACACTTCATTTTCCTTCGAATTGCAAGAAAAATCGGCAGGAAACGAAAGTTCTTTAGAAATTCTCGGGAGATCCACAGGTATCGGATGCCAAGTTTTTCTGTCATATTGATGCAAACCGTAGCTCAAAATCGGCAGAAAACCAAAGACTCCTCAAAAACCTTTTGAAGAGCTGCTAGAGGTCCTCCGATGTACCAACAGATTTTCCATGCTGGATTTCCCCTAGTTCCCAAGTTTAAACCATCTACACCGTTTCGCAAAAGAGCGATTAAGTTGTTGATTTCTCCGTGTGGACAAACAAACATATTGTTTATGTGACCCTGACTCAAGAGAATAAAAGTACTCTGCGTAAAGAAATGGTATTTATTTAATTAATTCTTATCGAAAACTAAATTCTTTTCTAACATTTGATCACTAATAATAGATAATCAGAAAATGATGAATTATGTCTGCATCAAATTTTTTCCGGCATACTATACAGTTCCAAAATCCTGCTTTATTTGGGAAACATAGAAAGCTTTCTGCTCTACAGAAAGTCATGAGATACTCGTAGAACTCTCAATCTTTTCTGGCAATATTAATTGTTCCCTTTATTTTTTGGAACATCCTTAATGGATAGCCTAAATCGACAGAGGAGATAGCTGTGCATACTTCATGCTAGTAAATCAGCTGGTTATAACGTAAAATACGAGGGGAGAATGAGAAATAATTTTACAGGTAAACTCCGCATGTTTTGTATCTGTCGTTCTAATTACTCTACACATTTATACTTACTGCACCATGTAGAAAATCAGAACAGTCGAGACATTCCAACTGCATATATGCTCCTGCTCCTGAACGGAATGATATACTGGAAAATTGAAATAACTATTCGACCTCAAAGCATCTCCACTGCAACTCTTCTTAGGCAACTACTCAAAAATCTTATAAACTAACCTAAAGAGAATGAAAAGACGAAGATCTGAAAAGACCTGTTCTAATTAGCTCACCAACAAACTTAGCAGAGATGAAAATGTTACTTGGTTTAGTGGTACATACGGTTATTCGTCGGTATGTTCCTAATTCAATATACTGAGCATTGGCTTCCGTTGTTTTTTCGAATACATGTGGTGCTTTTAAAATATATCGGCCTGGATCTAATAGAATCGTTACTCCATTTCGTCTCGATAAACCTAATTCACCTTGATTTATCGTAACAATTTGAATGTTTGATAATGTTATCAATTTCTCTGTGATGCTAACAACATCAACTAAATGATTAAATGGTGACACGAAAGTATATCGACCAGGTGCCAAGAATTTAGGTGTTTGATTTAACATTGCCAAGCCCAGTTCCCCATCTTTAACCAAATGAATTCCCAAACCTGATGGATGGCTTGCACGCTTCAATAATTGTCGACGATCTAATTCTTGATACAGTGATTGATCGGGCTGAATTTTGATATCATCGCCTAAATCATCACCATGTTTTATAGTACCAAATGCCTTTTTATAATCACTGACCAATTTACTATCTGTATAAGTATGGTCGTCCATGTTCAAGAAAGAATTTGACATAAAAATATGATTAGAAAGCTTGTTAATGTTCACTTCTTTTATTTCTCATAGAATAAAAGAATGATGTCATATTTTTCTTTTTCACGTCATTAGTACAAAATGTATGTTTTTCTTTCCAACATTGTATCGGATGAATAATTTTTCTTTCGTTTCATTCTTCGAAAAATGAATCAGTCATTGTGTAAATAAATATATATCGTTCAATATATTTGTACGTAACATATTACAATATTACGCAAGTAAAGTACAGTGGGCGACATTAGTCATATTAAGCAGGAAAAATTTTCTGCGATCACATTAACTTCATCATAGAAAGAGCTGGAAAAATTGAAAGTCTCTTTATTGTTGGGTAGAAAAAAGTTTAAGCCAAATGTTGTTCTCTTTTCCTTTTTCAGACAGACTAAAAAATGTTTTTTGTACGCACTTTCTAATGCGTATTTTGAACCTAGGGTATAAAATTGGATCGATCTGGTATATCACGACATAAAATTGCTGGTAGCAAATTAAGAGATGCATATCCAATGCCGGTAATAGCACCTGAAGTGTATAAATCTTTTGTTTGGTTCTTGAATTTCATGTTGATATCTTCGCCATAGCAAATTAGGTCAATGTTTTAAACTGTTTTTTGTTATTCACCGTTTTATTCTGCAGTAGAGTAAGTATATAAGAAACACGATTTTAACGAGAAATATTCTTCTTTTCAGATTATCTCTTTAGTTTAGCTTAAAACAGAGTTGCTAAGAGTGTCCTCTGTGGTTCCTCAGAGCTAACTCATTGTTTCGATTTGAGGCAGCTGTGAACCGAAGAGCTCAGTTAACCCTAAAACTGGAAACTCTCCGATTAATTGCTATTAGCCGCTAAAAAATTGTCGATTTAGTCGAGCCGTTCTGACTGGTTGTTTTTCAAACGGTTCCACTTCTGTTTTGGGTTATTTCCTGTAGCTCGATATATTAGTTAATTTTGTTAACACATTAATGGAAATCAAAATAGTAAAACTTTCCGGTCAGTATTATTTTTTTATTTAGTGTTTTTCCTCTGGCCTCGTTCATAGATTATCTCAAGGTGCCTTTTGAAGTTATGATAGCTCAATTGGCTATTCATTAACACTTATGGTTAGGTTAGTCTTCTGCTAAACGTGGGCAATGTCTAGCTATTCACAAATAGAACAATGCAAGTGACTACCTCTACATGAAAGGTTGTCTATACCGCTCCCATTCATAGAACGCTAAAACATGTTATGAGTGTGAAATACTACTATCAGTCCACTGTCGATGGGCTAGTTCATTACCGAGATAAGACACAGTACTCCGTATTTAATGTGTCCGCCCATAATTTTTAATGGATCAGCGCATTATGTTCAGGGCACACAATTGTGTCATTCACTGTGTCTCCTTCTATCGGTGCTAACAATTGGCATTGCGCTGTATCGGTCTCTATCTTTCTAATGATTCAGTCCATTATTTCTCATAGATCAGCCCTTTACTTGTAATTCAAAATAACATAAAATTTTGTGTAATTCACTTCCAAATGTTTTGTCTGAAAGAGTATAAATATAAAAGTTAAATGCCATGGATGTATAAACGAGAAATATCCTAAATTAGAAATAGTTATATCTACTGTTCCATTGAGATCTGTACAACTTCACATACCGTTTGATCAATATGGCCTTGCGATGGCCTTTGTCGACATGATTTTGTAACTCATATTAGAAAATGAAAATTTGTTTCTTTTTGTACATATATCACATTTTCTCTTTTTGTGAAGTAAAAGAAAATAGAAAGAAAAGAAAACGGTATTCATTTAATTTCTATTTACGAGCTAACATGGATAGTCGAGTTAAGATGATTTCGAAAAGAGCACTTGGTAGATTTATTGGGAAAAATAAGACAATCGACGCTAGCATTAAAATGAACATATGTCTTTGAAGAAATAATTTTTTTCGACCATGGTTCTGCTGATTCTGTTTGCTCGATCTGATGATATAGAACATATGAGCTAGAGTCAGTAACATCAAAATATAAGGTATAATAACTTAGATACCGGCGAAAAGAACATTTCAATAGCTTCTATAAAAGTTTTCATATGACTTTGAATCTACGCTGTTGATGCAAGTGATAGTATTCGTAGACGTGCCAAAGTAAGGTATCAACAGATGTGAGCACAGTGCACTTGAATACAAGCAAACAATTAATCGATCGAGTGACACGCCCACAAGTGACCAGGATGAACGTAACATTGAAATTTTCGATAAAAATGTTCAGAATCGACAAATTTCAACATAATAGCGATCGTCAAGCTTTAAACCAGAATGAAAAAAATCATAAACGAAGATGCCGAGGTAGACAGTGTCTGATATGACCCAAAATCAGAACAGAATCGATGTGGATACGTTGCGCAACGTTGGTCGTGTGAATGTTAACACTGAACTTAAATTACCGAATAGACCAACACAAAAGATCACAAGGTAAACATACAACGAAATCGAATGGACAAATGACGATGAATCGACCGTCACACCACCATCAGAAGGATTAGGAGGATCCGGAGGGCTATCACCGGGCGGTTCTGGTGGAATGCTATCCGTATTATTGAAATTTATTTTGAAATTTGTCGATGAGAAAACGGAGTGATTATACAACTCGTTCTGCTTAGAAAGTCTAATCGCTTCCAGTTATGCCGGGGACAGTAAAAAAACGACGGTGCTCATCAAAATTTTCGCTGAATATAATTCTTCTGTAATTAGAAATAAAAATTGTATCAGCGAGCACCGTATGGCTTTGACAACGAAACATTCAAAACGCCCGACTTAGTCATTATCAACGACACGACATTTAGGCACAAAGGGTCAAGAAATATAAAACTTCGAGAACATAGTGAGAACACCTCACGGACTCAACTTCCTCCATGCATGTTGTGAGGATGTCCTACAACGCACAAGTAAAACGAAAACGTCGTAAGAACAGATTTTAATTTAAAATTGTTGATTATTTACTGTATGGAGTAGAGTATAACATGTTGATATTTTGTTCTCTCGAATAATTTGTGTTATTTCTGAAGTAATTATCAGAACTGGTAAGACCAGCATTCTGAGTATTGGTATCTACTCGATACCATCTGAAAATAGCTCTGAAAAATATTGGCCTTGTAACTTGGTGTGAATAACAAGGATAATCATTATCTTTCGTCTGTCTTTTCGAAACTGTGTCAAATAGTTTCATAAACTATAAATAAATTATAAGAACAGTAAAAAATTTAAACTAAAAATTCAATGACCATCCTCAAACGCTGTCAATATCGTCTACTGTACACGGCTTGTCCAGCTAACGGTCTTCTTTTTTCGCTCTTTTTCAAAGAACTATGGAAATAAAGTTAGAAAATAATCTAAAATTACAACTAGATAATTGAGTAGATTAAGCATTTCTCTATAAAATGAAAAATCTCTTGGCTCTGAACGTTGATTCGTTATGAAAGTACAGCTGTTGTACAAACAGACCCAAAAATCGATGTTGAGGCTGTCTAAAAAGCGTGTCTAAAAGAGTGAAGACGAGTTGGCAAAAATTGAACAAGTATACCAGTTTGTAGAAAATTGTTTGTTCTACAAGATAGCTTGTCAAGTTCGAAACTATTCTAATTAATCTGTATTAATCAAAGAAAAACCGGTCAAAAGTGTCACGACGCCACGGTTTTTCTGGTTTTCCTTTGATTAATACAGATTAATTAGAATAGTTTCAAACTTGACAAGTTATCACATCTTGTAGAGCAAACAATTTTCTACAAACTGGTATACTTGTTCAATTTTTGCCAACTCGTCTTCACTCTTTTAGACACGCTTTTTAGATAGACTCAATATCGATTTTTGGATCTGTTTGTGCAACAGCTGTATTTTCATGACGAATCAACGTTCAGAGCCGAGACACTTTTCATTTTATAGAGAAATGTTTAATCTACTCAATTATCTAGTTGTAATATTAGATTATTTTCTAACTTTATTCCCATAGTTCTTTAAAAAAGAGCGAAAAAAGGAGACCTTCAGCTGGACAAGCCGTGCACAGTGGGCATTTTTTGCTAGAGCAAGCGGACTTTAGCTTTATGAGTGAACTAAAATTTCATGAACCATCTTTTTATAGGTTTTTCATGATCCTCTTTCTAATGGCATGAGAGTTGGGTTTTA